TCACCAGAGGTTCCTAAGCCTAAATCTCAACTTTTTAACCTAAGCCCCCTTCTTTAATTATAGTACTAGACACACCAAACTCTAATAAAAGATCCCCCTAGTCTTCCCCTTTCAATAATAAATAACTTTCATTGAATCTCTCCTATTAGTTACCCCTCAAAAAAAAATACTTTTTCATTAGCTTTAATTTCGTTTAATTTCACTTAATTTCTCCTATTTCACAGCCCCTAACCCCCAGATACTAACCAAACCTAAAATGTCTTAATCCTCTCTTCCTCCTCTTTCTGAAAACCTATCACTCAATAGTTTCAAAATTACAAGCCCTCCCCTCATTTTTAATATTTTTTTTATTTTTATTTTATTTTATTTTATTATTATTATTATTTTTTTACCTTTTTATTTTCCGTTTTTTACTTTTTATTTCTCCTATATCTTCCCTCCTAATACACTTAGTCTTGTAATTCTTTCAGTCTCTCTCTCTCAGCTTGGCCTCAGGTTTTCAACAATATTACACTTTAGAACCTCCCTTCAAATTTATTTTCTCCCTATTTTTAATCACTCCTTATTAGCATTTTATTTCTCTTCCAACTTCCCAACTAATAGTAGTAACTCCACCGTACCACTTCTATTTACCAACACAAACTCCCTCCTTCATTCTACCACCATCCCCTCATATCTATACTAATTAATATTTTTTCAATGAGTTTAATTAACCTCTTGTCTCTCATTTTCACTTCTAATTTCCACTAATCAGCACTCGTAACAGTCTCAAAACTACACAACAGAACCCAGCTTTTCTCTTATACCCCTGCGCCCTCCTGACTTACCCTAAAACACATTAACTAATTATTCCGTAGATTCTCCCCCACTTTCCAATCTTAACGTAGGACTTGCGCATCAGTACTCACCACCCTCATTTCCGAGCCTCTGGCGTATCTCCTGGGAATGTCAAGATATATACTGCTGCTTTTCTGTATTGAATTGATTAATACTGTTGTTATTCTGCATTGAATTACCCATTTACCTATTATCATACTTGTGAAATTACATTCCTGCATACATTCAAAGTGCATTTTCTTATTTACTAACTTTGCTATCCTCACCACTTGATGTCGCATCTTCACTGTCCGATTCACTTACTTTAATGTCCTGTGATATCACAAATTAAGCATATGACTGGTGGTGCCACACTGTGATATTAAGTGCTTACATCACGCATTCTCCCACCTTGCATACCTTAGTGTCCAACATAACAAGGGCCTTTTTAATCAGTGCATTTCAAGAATCAACGTATCCGCTCTGACATGTCGCGTCCCTCGTTTCAACCGACCGACACAGAGAATACCCAGTCGCAAGGCATTTTAGATCCTGAAGCTTTATTGGCATCGGACTTATCGCACGAAGAACGTGTAGCCGTCCTAGCAGGAAACATTCGGCAGATCTCTGCAACGTTTCGAAGAAATAAATTCCTATTAACCCAAGATTTAAGGGAGCAATTGGAAAAGTCCTTAGACGTCCTACAAGAATTAGCACTTGCAGGACCAGCATACGCACCAAAGCCAGTAACTGAAGACACAGGCACTAATACTTCTACCTTTGTGTGCTGTCAAGCAGTTCACGCCTCCACACACCCTGTGCAACAGCTCAATAGCGAACCAGCTCTGACTTCGCAGTCCAATACCTCCATTCCGACGTTCGCTGAGGTATTGCGTAAATCCAGAATACCTAGCATCATAATCAAGCCCATCACTAAGAAACCCACTGGAGAGCTAAGGAAAGAACTACAAGCAAAAGTTCCCCTTACAAAGATCCCAGTCACAGTGGAAAAGATACAACCTACGCCACAAGGAGGATTAGAGGTATTCTGCCAGACAGCAGAGGAACTTGACCAACTGCAACAGCATATACAAAAAGCCAACATAGATGTCGACGTCAAGAGACGCCAACGACGACGACCGAGGATTGCCATACACAACGTTCCTGAGAGCACCAAGCCGGAGGAGATCATCTCCGAGCTTAGTACAACAACGGGAACATCGTCTAAGCTCTACAAGGCGCTATACCGACTTAAAGAAAGGCGACCAAAGACAGTCAAGTGGATTATCGAATGCGCAGCAGCAGAAGGATTTGCCGCCGCAACCAAAGCCCGACGCATCTTCACTGCATGGCAATCCCATGGCATCTCTGAATTCATTGGCATCAGGCGATGCTATCGCTGCCAGCAGTTCGGGCACAGTCAAGACGCATGCAGGTCAAAGAAGATCTTCTGCGGCTTCTGCTCCGGCCCGCATCCAACCAGATGTTGCACAGCTGAGCAGCCCTCATGTATTAACTGTGGGGACTCAAACTGTAGATGGGGCACAAGATACAACTTCTTTCACCCGACTTATGCTACCGAATGCCCAGTCTACCAGCGGGCAGTCGATACAATCCGCAGCAATACGGATTATTAATGACAGACCAGCTTGCACGACCTCGTTATGTGAAAACAGTAAGCAGATGAAAGATCATCAACGACAAAGGATGCACTTAACATAATGCAGTCGGAACGACAATCAGAAACCAGGTGCCTGCAGATCAACCTACAGCATGCACGTGCAGCAACATCGCAGACAGCTCTCTACGCTGCAGAGGAACGAATAGACCTAATCTTAGGTCAAGAACCATACTGCAGGAATGGTAAAGTAGTCGGCTTCCCCTTACAATGGAGCATTTATCAAAAAGAAGATATCGATCAACCACCAAGAGCATTTATAGCAAACTGCAACCCCAAATGGTCACCATTAATGATAGCAGCCGAAAGGGACTTTGTAGCAATACTATTAGAGGTACTAAATCTAACAGTGGTTCTGGTTTCAATCTACTCTCCACCAACAGAAGAAGCAGACCCCACATTAGAACGCATACAACGATTGATGAGATCGCACCGAATAGCTAACATACTATTTGCTGGAGATTTTAACGCACACAGCACCACCTGGGGCTATGCAATCACAGCTCCTAAAGGCCGCATACTCGAGGACTTTGTTCACAGCAGTAACCTCGTAATTCACAATCGTTCGGATGCACCGCCTACATTCAATAGACTACACTCGCGCGGCTGGCCAGACCTTACCATCACCACCCAACAGATGGCACCCATACTGCAAGACTGGACAGTCGTCGAAAACCTTAGTATCTCCGACCATAATTATATACGGTTTAATCTAGCAAATAGCACAGCCACCTCTATTCTTAAACGGTACAATCTCCCTGGACGGAAAGTTCGAGCATTCACAGCCATCATTAGAGCCCGTCTGGCACCTTTTGCAACCGCAATAAGACAGGCCAACAGCAAAGAGGCCCTCCAGAACCTCACCCAAGACATCTTAACCGCAATCAAGAAGGCATGTGATGAAAATCTTCCCCTGCGCACGGCCAAAAGAATCACAACGCTGAATTGGTGGAATGGCACGCTTCGAAGTCAACAACAACGGTGTCGTGCTCTACGGCGACGCCTAAAGCAAGAGCGCAGACATAACCTAGAAACCTCCACCCTGCTCATTTACCAACGGGAGCGAGCACTCTATAAGCGAATGATTCTGGAAGCTAAGATAAGCAGCTGGAGAAAATTCTGCACAGAAACTACGACCACCTTTGGTATCCACCACAAAATCGCAGCTGGCAAACTCTTCAAGCCGGCAACTCTCTACCTCCAGCCAACGCCAAATACTAATGACCATCTCACGGAGGCTACGTTATCAGAGATCCTAAGGACAGTCTTCACCAAAGGACAACCCGACAGAAGACACAGCCTTTCATACCATCGTCCGAAACCAGCCTCTTGAAATAAATACCATGGATGACCCTGATATTACAACTGCAGAAATACTCCAGGTCCTGCGCCAGCTTCCGCAGCGTAAAGCACCTGGACCAGATGGCATCGACAAACCGGATAATAAAATTAATAGTGCGAACAAATGTCAACATCTTCCAAGTGCTATTTAATCAGCTTCTTCGTACCGGGACATTTCCCAGGTGTTTCAAAATCGGTCATGTAGTCTTGTTCCTGAAGAAGAACAAAGATCCTACGAGACCAGAGTCATTCAGACCGATCTGCTTACTCTCTACCCTGGGTAAGGTTTTCGAAAAGATACTCATGACAAGGCTAAGACACCATCTGCACAGAACCCGGTTCCTGAGTCCAATTCAATTTGGCTTTAGCCCAGGTAAATCAACACTACATGCTCTGATGGAAGTCAAAAACCAAATACTGGCTAACAGATCCTCTGGCTACCACACAGCGTTCATTTCAATAGATCTCAAGAGCGCTTTTGATACGCTGTGGTGGCCAGCAATATTACAAGCTCTACGAACCGCTAACTGCCCAAGCAATATTTACAACACCATCGTAAACTATTTAGCGGACCGCCGGCTGATCCTTCCACATAACAGCGGAATTATAGAACAAGATCAGACACAGGGATGCCCGCAAGGCTCATGCGCCGGACCGTTCCTATGGAACATAACCTTCAACGGAGTCCTCAACAACCCATGGCCTGACCATACAAGGATCATTCGCTTACGCAGACGATACAGCCCTAATCGTCAAAGGAAGAACCAGGGAAAAGCTCCAGGCCAATGCAATCGAATCCTGCTCCCTTTTTCAGGAAAGATGCACAGCCCTAAAACTTCAAATAGCAGAGGCCAAATCTCAAATTTTGCTCGTCCCAAAAAAAGGCGGATCGCTGGCAAGACAGCCAAGGATAACTTTAAACGGACATCGCCTCCGCATCACTCCAGTGCTGAAATATCTAGGAATTATCTTCGACACCAAATTAAACTGGATCCCCCATGTGCTGGAGCTGAAAAAGAAAACTGCAAGATTAGCCCAACAACTAAGATATATGCAGGGCTATAAATGGGGTCTCAATCCCTATATCCAGAAAACGCTTTACACAACAATCAATCATAACTTAAAGAAAATCATAACTTATGGAGCGGCTGTTTGGTCAGCGCCTATGCAGGGCCGCAAAGTCAAGCATCTACTTAGCATACAAAGGCCTTTTCTCCTGAATGTCACCAAGGCCTTCCGAACATCCCCTACAAATGCGTTATGCGTACTAGCGGGATTGCTACCGCTCCATCTGAGCGTAGAAAAGGAAGCAGCCTATCAGGAGATCACTCAACTTGGCAATCTAACCACCTTCAGAGACGAGCTATACTCACCAGCCGAATTTGAACAAAAGATGATACGCCTTGCCGATCACCCCTCAACGCAGGGACAGGGAGTAAAGATTAGCATCAAGCAAAACACCAATGTAAAGGAAGATGATCTAGTCTATTATACCGACGGGTCAAAACTAGATGAAAATACAGGTTGCGCCTATGTTGCCCTCAGACAGCAAAGCACAATAGCACAATGGAAAGGTCACCTGGACACAAACAACAGCGTGTTCCAGAGTGAAGTAATGGCCATCAAACAAGCTCTACTTACGATAATCCAACAGCGGCAAAGAGACAGCTTCATTATAACAGACAGCCTCTCCTCCCTGTATGCAATTGTGAACCCTGTGCACAGCTCCCCACTGATTGCAGAGATTCAGACACATCTGCGCGACCACAGCCATCTTAACACCAGGATAGAATGGACCAAGGCCCACGTTGGCAACAGGGGGAACGAGCAAGCAGATCAACTTGCAAAGGAGGCTGCAAGAAACATCAATGCGGAACATATCACCATCCCTTGGCCAGTTTCATATTTAAAGAAAAGTCTGAAACACAAGGCAAAATCCGTTTGGCAGGAGGAATGGGATACTGGTGAGACAGGACGCCGTGCTCACTATCACGTCCCTACGGTAGACTCAGACCGTCTCATAGTGCATGCACAAATGGTCCGATACATTACCGGACACGGTCCTTTCCCGTGTACTATGAAAAACACGGGATCGCACAAAATGCACATTGTATATGTGGTGAGATGGGCACCCCAGATCATTATGTTACCCAATGCCCGCTTACAGCAGATCTGCACCTGCCAATTCCAACTACAAACACGCAGGCTTTCTGCAGATTTATGGTTAAAGACAAACGTACTGTCCGAAAAATCAACAAGATAGTTGATAAACTCATGAACGTGGGCACAGACTTATGTCTAATCTAAAGCAAACGTGCTAAGATATGATATGCAAATGCAAGGTGGAGTGTGCAACGCCATTTACCATGTGCCATGTATCGTGTAAATTAAAAACCATGTCATACAAACTCCATGTATATATAACTATCGGCATGATGTGCTACGAGCAGCTCACAAACTAAAACTGTAAATAATGCAAATGAACTGAGTCAGTAATGAACATTACGCACTGAGGTCAGTTATCGTGCATATAACTATGCACTTTGCAGCGCGTATAACTGCCTTCAACAGAACAGCAACGTGTCAATACTGGCAAATTACGCAATGCAGGACAGTTCATGTACTACGCGTACTAATACATCACATCCATATACCGCGACCTATTCTAAGGTGCGAAATGTAAGTAATGGAGAAATGCACAGATGCAAAATTCTGCAGTAATATGCTAACTGTAAATGCAAAAGTAATCTATGTATATTAAGGAATGCTAATGTAATCCATTATATGTTTTTGTACATGGTAAATATATTAATGTAATGATTAAGCAATGTATTATAAGTGTAAAGAACTTCGGTACAGAATAACATTGTAAAGCTTACCGGTTTAATTATAAGGAGTAATGTAATATGCACTTTCGTATAAGTTAGTCAGTATAATTTATCCTGCATAATGTTTCACCAGTGCATAACAAATTTCCCTGCGTATAACTTAACACGCATCATGTATATATACACCCTTCTGTGCATAATGTTTTTCCTACGTATCACTAATTTCCCTGTGTATAATTTAATGCGCATCCTGTGTTGAATGCGCAGCCAGTGCAAAACAACATTATTACAATCTGATGATAATGTATCTGTTACCAGTATACGGTATATTAGGAAAGAAAATTAATGTAATAAGTATTTGGAAGTTAATGTAATGTTAAGGTAAGGCGTTATTTTGTCTTGTCAATCTGATGTGTAGAATATAATGTAATGTGTAAACCATGTATCGCAATATAAAATATGTAGTGTAGTATGTACTGATAAACTATCCTGTTAATTTGATATGTAGTACATTATCTAATACGTAAGCCAAGTATCGTAATATGTAATGTAATCGTAATAGTGTCATATGTATCATAATATATAATGTAATATGTAATACAATCGTATTAGTGTCATATGTATCATAATAAATAATGTAATATGTAATGTAATCGTAATAGTGTCATATGTATCATAATATATAATGTAATATGTAATGTAATCGTAATAGTGTCATATGTATCATAATATATAATGTAATATGTTATGTAATCGTAATATTGTCATATGTATCATAATATATAATGTAATATGTAATGTAGTCGTAATAATAGTGTTATATGTATCATAATATATAATGTAATACGTAATGTAATCGTAATAGTGCCATATGTATCATATTATGCAATGTAATATGTAATGTAGTATGTACTGATTAATGAGCAACATGACACAGAATGCAAAGCCCAAACTGAATGCAAACTTTATAATAGTATTATGCATAACGATGTAGGCAGTGTATCGAGAAGCCTATCATGTGAATAAGTTATCCTGTATAATGCAATACCTGTGTATAACTAATTTCATGTGAATAATCTAACCCGTATCGTGCTTATAACCCCCTATTGCGTATAATGTTCCTATGTATCATTAATTTCCCCGTATATAATGTAATGTGTACCCAGTGTATAATGATAATATAATGCGTATCCTGTGTCTAATGCGAATCCTGTGCAAAATAACCCTTTTATAATGTACCAATATAGGGTTTATTAGAAAAGAATTTTAATGTAATAAGTTGATGTGAAGTTAATGTAATGTTAGGATAAGGTATTAATTTGATATGTAGTATATAATGCAATGTGTAAATCATGTATCGTAATATATAATGTAATATGAAATGTAAGATAAAGGTGGACGTGGTGCTGTACTGATTAACCCAAATGGTAAAGGGACAGTGCCCACGTCCTCCGTCGCTTATCGCTTATTATTGTATTGTTATTGTGTTATTATATCTAAAAGATAGTAGTTAGTTGAAGTATTGTTTAAGAATTAATAAGTTTCCATAACTTCAAACTGCATAAGACCTAACGCATTGTTGCATATATGATACAGAGAAAAATTGCAAATCTATCTAAGTTTCTATCGGATTTCGGAAGCTATCAGTTTTTATGTTTTTAATTTTTACAAGAATGGACAAGTTATTACAACAAAAAATTATCTTTTTATTTTTAACTTTGAGTTTTATTGGTATGATCAAACTGTAAAATACTGCAGTTACTTTTTAATTCTTTCGAAATCTTTAAGATTATTTAAAATTTCAAAGCAAGAAACGAGAAAAATCAACTGTGCCCACGGATCTTCCAGTGTTATTCGAACGTGTTAACTGTTTTCACCATGTGAATACCTTTGGAGGGATTCAATAATTCTTTAGGCCTTTTTCGCACTTTTTACTCTTGAATACTAATAATGGATTTTTTTATGCACAGGTGACTTTTACTTTACAGTTTTATATGTTACCGCCTTCAATAAGTATTTTTATTCGAGGCGGTAACATGTGAAATTTTTATGTTTAATCTTTCTTTTTTTAAATTACATCAAAAAGATAAAAAATGCATTAAAAACTGTTATCTCCATGCATTCGAAATTAAGAAAGCCAAGGTAGCAATTATAAAGATATAAGTTACCCTCGGTGTAATCAAACAGAACAAGAATTAAAATAACAAGAGTGCGATGACCTTCCCATCTGATTATTATTTTTTGGAGGACTGATCTGATACTAATTAATCAGACGTGGATCAACTCTCACTCACGTGATCTCCAAATATTAATTGGAATAATCTCGATATGAAAGGCCTGATTAAGAAGGAGTTAATGAGAAAAAATACAAAACGCGTAAAGAGTTCTGTTCTTATGTTTTTTTCTGTTTTATCAGAGCAGCTCATACTTAACAAGAAAGTAATTCGTAAAGAGGATTAAAAAAGACACCCGGCAAGCTTAGGAAGTTTTAATCTGTCTATGCCACACAATACATTTCGAAGAACGTTATTAAAAAGAAACATCTCGTTTAATTCACGTTTAAGATGATGCATGTTCATATCATTTAAAAAACAAAAAAACAAGGCTCTAAAAAATACCTCTTGTAATCAAGCTTTGTTCTTGCCGATTATTTTGTTGCAGCTTGACTGAATGTTTTCTTAAAGAATAAATGTGCTTTTGAACAGAAATTGAAAGAATGACCTTTAATTTTCCGGATCTCATTTTTAATTAATTTTTGTTTTTAATTTATTAATGCTTAGGGCGAATATCTGCTTTTCCTTTTTTTAAGCTCTGCGTCTAAATTGCTTAAACTTGCATCGACATTTTAGAGAAAAAAGTAAAAGCTACGCAAATCTGCATTACGCAATTATCTTCATTGAAACAATTTCCCGTGAATTGGAAACACGTAAAATATACGCACATTAAGCAATAAAAAAAGTATATTTTCTGCTCGTTTTGTGTCGAAAACATCAGCTGTGAAATTTTAAAAAAATACCTCTAAGATTTCGCAATCACTTTGATGTATCCTAACCACAGAAAAGTGAGCAAATGTAACAGCATGTTTTATAAAAATAATGACTAAAAATTTAAAAAAAGAGGCAAATTTCTATAATCTTAGCGTCATAGAACATTGCTTAAATAGCAAAAGCAAACAAATTCTCTAAACTTTACGGGAATTTTTTATCATTTATTGCATCATAATTAAAAAGTGAGTGATCATAATTAAAAAGAAGGAAAAGGAGAACAAATTCAGTATTGTAAACATCCATTCAATTATTCTTTTAATTTCTCAACTTAGCCTTAAAATGTAGCTCATGTGTTATCATCTCTGGGGAACTTAAAGCAATTACTATGGGAAAGGATATAGTGACAAATAATAAAGGGTAAAGCACTTAATTAGTGACTTTAAAGCAAAGCACAAAATTGTGCCTTTCTTCCAAACTCCTTCCGGTTCTAAACTTATCACATTTAATAAAGTTTCGCAAGCTAACAGAGGAATTGTCTGCAAAATTTCTTCATCCCATGCGTGATGTGTCTTTTTTATTTCATTTAAATACGCATAATGAAGTGGTCTGATTTAGAAACAAATATATAAAGGACAAATTAATCTCTTAATGGAAATCTCAAATAAACTTAAAATGTATAAAATTATTATTTCGCTTATCAAATTTAATATTTCCGTTACTTTTCTTACATTTAAAATACAAAAGCACTACACTTTTTAATATTCATGGTTTAATTTCAGTCAGACTCTTTCATGACTGTTGAAGGTTATTCATGAACGAACTTATACCGGTGTTGTTGTAAACGCATTTGACTTAAAACTGATTAATTTCCTTTATTTGGAATTTGATTCTATCAAAGTAACCTAAAACCCAGAGGAAAAACAATTTAAGCGTGGAGTTGAACAACGTCTTCCGGAGCGATGAATGATAGCCTCTGGGGACTTTCCTCCTCGGAGCATAGAAATTAAACAAAGACTTAATCGTAAAAGGCCACACCGCGTTTTGAAGTTTAAAGTAAAATTGCGGCATTTTTTTAATATTTTGTATTTACTAGAGAGTCACAGCTCAATAAAACTTTTATACGTCGTGTTCCGACGTATACTCAAATTCTAGGTGCGAAAACTTAGATTTTTCAAAATTACTAAAATATGTGTTTATTGTAGGTTTCTATTAATCTCGTTTTATTTTCTATCATTTAAGTTAAAAATGAGCTTATGAAGTAAAAGTCTGAAATTAAAAACATTTTACTTGTAAAAAAGCAAAATTTCATACATTTATTTAATCACGATGTTTTAATAAATAAAATAAAATAACACGCCGAAAAAATATTAATTTTGAAGTCAAACAACAATCTAAACGTGAGAGAAAGAGCTACAATGTGCGAACTTCATTCTAACTTGGCCGTTATC